AAGAACCAACTGGCTTTTTCCATTCAAAATTTAACCATGAAGATACGATTACGGAGCTGTCAAAACTCGCTCTTGGGCTTCGGTACTAAAACAATGAGTTCTTAGAGAAAGCTGTTATTTCTTTTCAATACATTTGCTCAAAAAATGCATTTACGGAGGTTGTATACATTGGTCGAAAGTTCAAAATTAAGGGATATACAACGAAGCGTACGGTAAAACATTTTACCGCACGCTCCCATACATGGCGCCGTGAGTATCCTTTACGTTTAATTTCGTCGAACCTCCTTGAAAGCGCTTTCATCATACCTTTGTCTCACTTTAACCCCAAAAAAGAAAAAGAGTGTCTACTCGTTTGTAATAACCAATTTACCGCACTAATATTATAAATAACTATTACAGAGTTAGCAACGACCTTATGCTTCATGTTATCCCAAGTATTACAAGTAAGGAAAATGATATTAAAACATTACATTAAATGTCAAGTAGGTACACGGTTAGTGAATAAAAATTAAGTACTAGGTTATGTACATTTCAAGATTGTGTACAAAACCACCTAAACAATTTACTTCATCACGGCGCCTTAGTATGCCATTGATTTAAAGGTAGTTATGTAAGCTAACTTAATATTACTAACAATTAATTGGAATAAAATAAAAAAATACATTATCAACAAGCAAAAAAAGTTTTAAATCTGTAACCCGACTACGGAAAAAAAGTAGAGAGAGGAATGAAATCGATTAAAATTGTGACTTACGACGACGAAGCCAAAAGGATGCCCAACGTGTAGCACGTACTGGCCACGAATTGTTAACGCACCCTACGGGCTCCCGTAGTTTTTGGCGTTTGGCTAAGGCCGTGCAACACAACTTTTGCCAGCCCTCGCTGCCACCTCTGCGATGTCCAGATGGGTCACTAGCTCATGAGCCGCAAGAGAAAGCCGATTTGTTGGCAAAGCTCTTTGCGGCTAACTCCCGAATCAGTGATTGCAATGCACTGCCACCTACACTACCTCATTGTGGCACTACGATGCCTGACATTAAAATCAGGCAGCGTGATGTTCGTGCGGAATTGCAATCCCTCGACGTCCGGAAAGCTAGTGGACCCGATGGCATCCCAGCAGTTGTTCTAAAACATTGTGCAGCGGAGTTGTCTCTTTGGGGCGTGTGCCGGAAGCTTGGAGAGACGCCAATGTGCAACCGGTGCCCAAAAAAGGGGACCGCTCAGACCCGGCCAACTATCGGCCGATAGCTGTCACCTCAGTGTTGTGTAAAGTCTTAGAAAGGGTCCTTAACAACCATCTGACCCGCTACCTAGAAGATTACTCTCTAATTCACGATCGTCAATACGGATTTAGGCCGAACCGATCGACGGGTGACCTTCTAGCGTACGTGACACACATCTGGGGTGAAGCTATAGACAAGCGGGGAGAGTCTCTGGCTATTAGCCTTGACATCGCCAAGGCTTTTGACAGGGTCTGGCACAAGAGCCTTCTCTCCAAGCTTCCTGCATACGGTCTGCCTGCTCAGCTCTGCGCCTGGGTAGCTGACTTCCTGCATGAGCGTAGAATTCGCGTCCTTACGGACGGATGTAGTTCGCAGTTCATGTCAGTGAATGCCGGTGTTCCTCAGGGTTCCGTTCTATCCCCCACACTCTTTCTGCTGCATATCAATGATTTGATTCCACTTGCGAATATTCATTGCTATGCAGACGATAGCACAGTGCATGCGAGATACTTTGGACACGCGGCGGCTGGACAGGTAGAAACCATGGAGAAACGGGAGAATCTTGTCGTTGAGCTCAATCGGGCTTTAGACCACATTTCCGAATGGGGTACTAGGAACTTGGTTGAGTTCAATGCCAAGAAAACTCAGGCTTGCGCTTTCACGGCAAAAACATCGCCATTCCTTCCCCTTCCCTCTCTTCAGGGCACAACACTGGCGTTACAGAGCAATATTACCATGCTCGGTATGGAAGTTCGCTCAGACCTGAATCCAAAGGACTACATCGAAACGTTGATCAAAACAGCTTCACGCAAACTCGGAGTCCTGAACAAGGTGCGGCGTTTTTTCACGCCCGATCAACTGTGCTTGTTGTACAAAACACAAGTGCGGTCCTGCGTGGAATATTGCTCGCACCTCTGGGATGGCTCCGCAAAGTACTTACTCGATGCCTTGGATAGGTTGCAGCGGCGCGCTGCCCGCATCATTGGCGATGAAGAGGCAACTAAGAAACTCGAGTCTCTACAATTACGCCGTGATGTGGCATCATTAAGCGCATTCTACCGAATATACCACGGCGAGTGTTCTGAGGAGCTATTCTTGCTTATCCCTCCATCACCTTTTCTTCAGAGGACCACGCGCGCTGGCCTACGTTGCCATCGACTTACTGTGGCCACTATTCCTACACGAACAAAGAAATTTGGCGACTCATTTCTTTGTCGTACTATTCGTAAGTGGAATTCTTTACCCGCGGACGTGTTCCCTCCTTCCTATAATCTGGGGTCCTTTAAGAGAGGCGTGAAGAAGCATTTTTGCGGGCCGGCAAGGTGAGGATGGTTGGTGTAGCAGTTAATAACTGCTGTACCAGCTATCTTCGCGTTTGGACTTTATCACCACTTAACATCAGGTGGGGTAGAGTCATTTGCCTACCTAGTAATATATATAAAAAAAAAAAAAAAAAAAGGAAGGGATATCATTTTACCATTCTATGTACATACATACAGGCGAAGGATCATACACACAAATACATACATAACTGTATGTGTAAATTTACGTATTAAAACGTAGCGCTTAACGATTTCATCTTATTTTAATTAACAAGGTGTCTATTGATTCTTTACAATGATTTGGCCAACACAAGCTTTTTAACAGACTTTAATAAATAGGAGGAGTCTTGTAATTGATCATTCCTTTCTTTTTTGATTTTTTTCCGTGGTGGGGTTCACTTTTATAAACTTTTTTTACTTGTTACACCTGTTATGGAAGCGAAGGTATAAATGTTTAGCAAATTCAACAAGTCTGAAAATTGATAATCTATGATTTAAATGACAATTTTGGGTTGAATGACATTAGCGGCAGATTACTAGAGATGGGACATTTTAAATATGATTTTTCGATAAATAATTTTTTTTTTGGGTTATTTTGAAACACCGTGTATATCTACTATCAAATAATTCGGCGTCACTAATACTATCTAACAACCACGTTTCCGTAAGTATAATAACGTCATACGAATGCAGGCACAGATTTCTATAAAAAGTCATAGTTTTAGATCGCAATCCCCTTACATTTTGATATAAATATATAATAAATATTCAAATTAGTGTTTATTATTGCAGGGTTTTTAGAAATATCCATTAATTAATTTGATATGACACATAAATACTATAATACACTCCAATATTATTATTACACATATAAACTTAAGTAAAAAGGATTTTTCCAATAGGTTGTGGAATAATATAAAAACACTATTAATTGACGAAATCAGCCAAGCACCAATCATTTCATAAACGTATAATATTCTTAGCGCGGAGCAGAGAAAATAATGACCATTTAATCTATAGGTGCAAGCAGTCAAGAAAATATGGTATGAAAACTCGCGCTGTGCACGCCACGCTAATTGAATAAGAGTAAGCGAGAACGACATATAATTATTAGATTGACTTAGAAAGACGGGTGCATAGTGTAAACTAAGGCAAGACGTCCTCAGCAGAGGTGGAAATCCAGGTTTGATAAACATAAAGTTACAATTAAAGTTGTTATATTTAAGTGAACAATAATAACTTTCATGAATAAGTGGAAAAAATAAAGTTACAAAAATTAAATTGAATAGTCCAATACTTTCTTCATGACAGCCTATACAAACTTGTTTAAATCGCTCAATTTATTGACTATAAATACAGCAGATTTGTCATTCTTTCTAACGAAACGAACGTAACATAAATTATTATTATTACGTCGTACGAAATAGATACAAATCATTTTAATTTAGGAAATAATGCATTTTAAAGTTTATAATATTGAAAATATACGAAAATTATGTGACTATAAATGATTAAAAAACTTTAAATGACACAAATAGTTAGAATTAAAAAATTGAAACTTCTGATGCCTATTTCGGCCAAGGCTGCAAGTGCATGCAAAAGATTTGATGGTGAAATTAATAAATAAATGTAATACAATAATTTACAAATGGTTTCATTGCTAACACTTTAAACATTTCGAGAAAAAAAAATATTTCAGTTTTGCTCCATACATTTTTTTCTTAGATATTTTTTTTTCGCCAAAATATAGGATTACATGAAAACTGCTAGAACAAAAGTTGATAAGCGTTCACTTATCTGTCCGCATGAATTTTTTCAGCGCGAAATATTAACCATGGGTCCTATGACCACTATATTCAAAATCCGGACCACTGTGGGGCGGGGCGAAAATACTGTGATCAACACACCGACTATGGATTTGGTTGGTATATCCATTTAACATTATCTAACTTAATGAATGGAAAGCCGAATTTATTTGCAGATATTTGATTTGTCAAAGTTTTTGCTTTGTTGTGTGCGTGTCGCATGCACTTATTATAGTTAGTTTTGAAGTTTAAAGGTATGAGTTTGGATCCATGTTTTTGCGGTCTTATTTAGAGAGTTATGCTTCTATATCATTTCTAATTCGTTGCAGTCTCTGAATTTGATTGGCACTTGGACCAAGTGTAGATTTATAAATATAACAGTTCGATGCTTAAAATAACAATATGGAAAGTGATTTTTTAAGCATTTAACTACTAGATGTAATATCAAAAAAAAAAAACTAGAAAAAATTCCACGCTGTCCAGGCAGCAGATGGGACTCGAACCCGCACCCTTCGCTTACCGGGCGAATGCATTGACCATTATGCTACCTGCTGTTGCAGGCCGTTCGAGTCTCGTCTGGTAGCTGGGCCGCGTAGATTTTTTCTAGTAAAATTTTTTTTAGAATATGATTAAGTGTTTGATATTGTCAGGGCCGGCGTTGGCCACGGACCCCAACTACGCTCGAGCGGCGGCTCAGTTGCCCGCCAGCCACGACAGAAACGCTACACTCCTCGCCATATACATGCGTATGTATCACAAATTATCAATCTCTACAATCTCGAAGCTTTTGGCGATTAAAGCGTTAATATACTAAGAAAATTAATATACTACAGAAGATCACTAGGTTATCAACTTCTTGGAATACGAAGTTTTTGGAGATTATACTAATAATATAACTGATTTCACACTATCTAGCCTTTTGTTTATTGTGTTAAGTAAGTGATGAGAACTCGAATATTTGAGGATTTCGTCATTGATTGATTTAGATGTGTTGCTAACAGATGTCGTGACATTTACAAGTGCTTGACTACAGTGACACTGACTTTTGACCGTCTCAAAGACATTTTTATGTACCATGTTTTATACCAAAGGTTGCTTCAATTTCAGACAGTTAAAAAGAAATAATTCGTTTTCCCGTACCATTAGTGGTAAATCTACTACCTGTACCTTACTTGTGCATGTAATAGTTAATATTATTAACTATGTGATACTCTCAACGATGAAAAGCAGTTAGATGCTATATTATGTTGACTTTGCAAAAGCGTTCGATCCCGTAAATCATGACATCTTGTTGGCATAGGAGTTAGTTGGACTCTTATTAGGTAAATGAGTCTAAATAATTGATGTTCGCGGTTATGATTCTGTCCCCTATTATTCAACGTCTGGTGTTCCGCAAGGATCAAATCTCGGTCCCTTGCTATTTTTGGTTTTCATAAATGACCTTCTTTATCTAAGAGAAACTATATATAAGGGAAATTTTCATGTCATTATCATCGTATTCATGATATAACAATTTAATTTCGGACTACAAAAACAGAAGTTACAAAGACTACACAGGCCGGTTTGGATTGCTCTTGAGCGTATTTACCAATGTCATCTTTATTTATTATGAAATAGCGTTTATAATTATGTGGTAACAGGTAAGGTTTTGGCGCAGCTGAACTTTACGCTGCGCAACAAGAGTGAGCAGTACCCGGACGCTTTGAAAGCGATATTCCTACTCAACAACACACACTACTTATTGCAGGTAACCTTGATTTAAATAGTTTTTTCTTTTCTTCATTTATTAAGGAGCTTTTATTCTCGGAATATGCCAGTCTCATCATACTCTAACCAATATTAGTTTAATCTATACAAATATGTCATGGCCTAAACTTAGTATTAGTAAAATCGATATTTAGCAAAATTGCTACAAGTTTGCCTTAAATTATCATGTTGTATACGACTCTGTAGAGGAGGTCGATGGCGCTAGTGGTTAGCGCTTTCAGCTGCCATCGTTAAAGTTAAACAAATTTCGCAGTGGTCGGTCATTGGATGGGTGACCAAAAATTTACTATCTCGAGTTCCTCCGTGCTTCGGAAGGTACGTTAAGCCGGTGGTCATGGGTCATGGCCCATTGTCCCTATTCCATCCATAAGGAGGGGTTGTGCCCCGGCAGTGGGGACATTAATAGACTGGTGATGTGTGAAACGACTCTGTATATAATAATACAGTGAGGAAAAAGCAGCCCTTGCTGTGCAAGTATTAAACATTTGAAAGAAGAAATTTGTGGGTTACCTATAATGCGAAGATATGGCGCTACCTTGCAGCTTAAGAATGGCTAGAGGAATTTCGACGCGGTCTGTGAGGGCCGCGCTAGCATGGTTGGTCAGTGCATTCGCCCGGATTGCGAAGGGTGCGGGTTCGAGTTCCGTCTGATGCCTGATCCGCGTGGAATTTTTTCTAGTTATATTTTCTTTAGATTTAAACATCAAGCAGTTACATGCTTTAAAAATAAAATAAAATATAACTATAATTGCTATTTTTTCTTTCAAATGTTTAATACTTGTAAAAGTATTCATTTGATATTGTGAGTTACCTATAATGCGAAGAGATGGCGCTGCCTTGCAGCTTAAGAATGGCTAGAGGAATTTCGACGCGGTCTGTGAGGGCCGCGGTAGCATAATTGGTCAGTGCATTCGCCCGGATTGCGAAGGGTGCGGGTTCGAGTGCCGTCTGCTGCCTGGTCCGCGTGGAATTTTTTCTAGTTATATTTTCTTTAGATTTAAACATCAAGCAGTTATATGCTTTAAAAAAAAATATATATAACTATAATTGCTATTTTTTCTTTCAAATGTTTAATACTTGTAAAAGTATTCATTTGATATTGTGAGTTACCTATAATGCGAAGAGATGGCGCTGCCTTGCAGCTTAAGAATGGCTAGAGGAATTTCGACGCGGTCTGTGAGGGCCGCGCTAGCATGGTTGGTCAGTGCATTCGCCCGGATTGCGAAGGGTGCGGGTTCGAGTTCCGTCTGATGCCTGATCCGCGTGGAATTTTTTCTAGTTATATTTTCTTTAGATTTAAACATCAAGCAGTTACATGCTTTAAAAATAAAATAAAATATAACTATAATTGCTATTTTTTCTTTCAAATGTTTAATACTTGTAAAAGTATTCATTTGATATTGTGAGTTACCTATAATGCGAAGAGATGGCGCTGCCTTGCAGCTTAAGAATGGCTAGAGGAATTTCGACGCGGTCTGTGAGGGCCGCGGTAGCATAATTGGTCAGTGCATTCGCCCGGATTGCGAAGGGTGCGGGTTCGAGTGCCGTCTGCTGCCTGGTCCGCGTGGAATTTTTTCTAGTTATATTTTCTTTAGATTTAAACATCAAGCAGTTATATGCTTTAAAAAAAAATATATATAACTATAATTGCTATTTTTTCTTTCAAATGTTTAATACTTGTAAAAGTATTAAACATCAAGCAGTTACATGCTTTAAAAAAAAATATATATAATGAATTATTTTAGAATTGCTGCCGCATTAATAAATACCTATCAGGTTTTGATAGTGGATAACGTTCATGCTACTGATATCCTTCAAATAATAGATGAAAGAATAAACATGCCCAATACACTGGGAGATCTTGTGAACAGACGCAATTTAAACCGAAGGCGAGCACAGTTCCAACCCACGGCTGCGGATATGGCAGATTTCAATGATTTTCCAACATTGACAGAAGAAGATTTAATATTATTCAGCCTTGGTGTATATCAGCTCAAACAAGCAAAAAGCTATTACGGAGAGCACCTTCAATCCGACGGAGCTTTTATCATCGAGCTCGGTGGTGGGATTCCTCTGGAAATAGTCAGGGAACTTGAAGGTGAAGACTTGTGGATTATAAGAAGACAAGTAAAATCCCGGTACATTCAAGCCAAAAAATACTACGTGTACCTTGCACTAGATCGGGCAGCAAATGGTCGTCGAACATTAGCTCATTATTATTGTACATACAATATCGGCAAGAGGACCATTGGATGCTGCTCTCATACCATGACCATTGTCTGGTACATGGGTTATGCTAGACATGACCCATACCTCACCCCACCTGCAATAGGATTAGATGATGTTTATGTTAGATTAGGAAAAATATTAATGAATTAATACTAATAATTAATATTAATACTAATTGAATGTTGTTTCATTTTGCTCTTTTTACCTAAATGAAAGGTTTTGAATCTAAATGTTGGTATTGTTGCTTGTTTTTTTCATATTTAATATACTTGACCAAATGTATTAAAACAACACATCTTAATAACATTTTATTTCACATTGTATTTTAAAACCGTGTAACAACATAACCATAGGCTGCACAGGTTTGTTGTCATAGTAAAAAATAATAGGAAATTTGTGATCTATCCGAAAATAAGGTTTTTTTTTCTGGCCGGCACTTTCAGATTTGGCCCAAACATGTATGGAACGTGAATGATGTCCTTTGCGAACCGATGGCCTAGCTTCTTGACTTTCACAATTGCTTGTAATAGCGAAGATTGATTAAATGAATTTGGATTTTCATTTGGCAGGGTCTCCAACGCAGCGGATTACTGGATGTAGTTTCTTTGGCAGAGCCCGAGTGCGAAGCCAGCTACCGAGACCTCATAAACCACCACAGACAAGCCTATCTGCAGAGGTATATTAACCATAAACATTTCTTAACACTGCCACCACAAAGTTTTAATATTATTTTTGTAATAAGAAAATGCTTTAAGCGTTATTACAATACAAATTTGGACTACATTACATTTGTAAATTATATACATCTCAACATAGTTAAAATAATATTTAATTCAGAAAATATGGATGTTGGGATTTTTGGATGGATATTTGTTACACTTACACTCCTAAGCAACTGAACGGATTTGGGTTATGGCTAGGATTGCAACGATATATCGTAATATCGATAATATCGAGACCAAAATATCGATATTTAAAATTCACTGATATCGATAATATCGATATCGGAAATTCCAAAATATCGATATTTCGTAGACTAAATTTGAACACAATAATATCAATTAATTTACCTGCTATGACTAAAAAAATGCTATGATTAAAATAATATCGAAATAACTATTGCTTTGAAATCGCAAGAGCTTATAGATGTATTAAAATAATCTTGAACCCCAAGAAATATACTAAACTGGTGTGGATTCTGGCATGATTCTCTAAATCTAAAATTAAATTTGACAACAGTGTATCCTTGTCATTCTCTATACAGAATGAAAAGGAGAGACTGATGTTTAGTTTTAAGTTTAGATAACCATGCCAGAATCGACACCAACGTATATAGGTATAATCGTATACCTAATGGTAACTCATGCACTTAAATAAAATCCTTGCCTCTCTTTCTAGATAATTGTCAACTACTGATTAATTGAAATTTAATATCATTGTAATATAACACAAAATAAAATTAAGAATCTTATACAAATCGTACTTTTTTTTAAGCTCGCCAAGTCAAGAAAGTAAGATAGGTATAGTAATTTTGGAAGTTTTGGGCTTACCCTATTCTGAAGCCATGGGCACACCCCTGATGTTTTAACATTTTAAACAAAATAAATATCTTTGATTAGAAATTGCTTTTGATTTGATACATCTTACAGTGCTATAAAAATATAGAAAATATCTATAAACATCGTGTTGAAAATGTTGGAATGGCTGATATATCGGATATTTAGCCGCCCACATTATAAATATCGATATTTTGGAAACCTTACTTCCTTAATTTTAGGTTTTTGCTTTACAAACTTAATTCAAAGCAAAAAAGAAAAAAATATCGATATATCGATAATATCGAGTTAAAATCGTCGATATATCGGATATCGATATTTTCCTGACTTCGATATAAATATCGATATTTCTAAAGACTTTTCATCCCTAGTTATGGCACATAGATGAGGCACTGCTTCATTTCACTGCTGGGGACGGATCACTATTTGAGATATGTAGTAACAAAAAATTAAAATTCTTTAAAATTAAGTTCTCGTGTGCTAGGTCCAGGTTCATTTTCATTGTCACATATATTCCTCAATGCTGGGCGTGAGTCTCCTGTAAGAGGGTGGCGCTCCTCTTCGTGTTGGGGACTAGGATCTGTAAGCAAATCAGGATTTTTTTGTGTTAGAGGTTCCTCATTTTCCTTATTTTCAGATGGTATGTTTTCTTCAAGTGTCAGATTTCTTATGCCCATACCACGCGTATGTCTGGGATTTACAATTTCAGGAAGTAGACATTTATGGTAAAACTGTATTAATTTGGATTCCATCTTTGATTTCCAAAATACGTCATCTTTTTTAATTATTTCGATGTGCTCTGGCTCTTTTTCTCCGGCCCAAATACCAAGTAGACATTTCCTTCGTCTCGCTACATGCAATTGTCCCTGTATTTGGTAAAACCAATTACTATTTTGATTAATTGTTGCAGTGCGTGTTTTTTTATTAAATTTTAATATTTGTATTTTATTTTCTTCAATAGCTCTTTTCATGCCAAGTTTTGATGCTGAAAAAGGACATTTGACTTCGACCAGAATGTCATTTCCAATGAGCCCATCTGGCGTGGCACCAATGAATGGGAAATCTTTATCTATAAACAGTCCACAGGGCTCAAGAGACACGCTTTCTTGTTGTTGTATCTTGTGCAGCGCTTGCTGCTCATTTTCAATACCATAAGCAATGGATGCAACATGGCTTAAATTTGTTTTATATAATATATTTTTAACTAGCGGTGCGGTGTCTTTTGATACTTGCCTCTTGCAAATAGGGCCGAAATTAGAGGCAGTAATAAGATTTTTTCGAATCTCTAGCCATTCGCTACTGTCTCTTTGTAATATTGTATTACGCTCAATCGCATCCTTGTCAGCAGTAAGAGTTTCTAAATTATTTAGAAATTCTTCTTTAGCTACTTCCAGTTCAGACTGGGACATGTCCGGATCTAAACTGGCGGGGCCGTAGTCATTTTGTTTTTGTTTCGCGTCTGCCAATTTCCTGATTTTCCTTTTTACGGGACGTTCTGAGCTGTTCTTCCTTTTCTGGGCTTTTTCCCTTTTCATTTCCACAACTTCAGCTAATCCAACTTCGGGTAGATTTTTATTTGTTAATGTGTTTTGCACATACGATATTGCTGATTTTTCATTAAATTTTACCACCGCAGCATTACACCTTCCTTGGTAGCCTCGTTTCAAGGCAAAATTTATTCGCTTTCCTCCTATAAATTTCGCAATAACATTATTGAAACATTCGACAATATTAGTATTCACGTTTTTTATTAAACTTCGTGATTTTACTGCCACATTCGAAATAATAGAATTCATCCGGAACAGAAATGTTGAATTCTGAATGGATTTCAGTCCGTCGCTATAAACTTTTTCTTTGTCACAGTTATAATCCTGACACATTCTGTGATCGCCGTATGCATGCGCTACAGAATTGATTATTTCATTGTGAAGAATAGTTATAGCATCGTCCTTTGGATTTTTATTGTGGTGTACAACTGACCTTACTATTGCTTTCCTCATGGACATAATTTTTACCACAGTCAAAGTTTTTCGGTGAGCTAAAGAGTATTTTGTTTCTGAAACTAGCCTACGTAATTTTTTGCATAGATTTCTCAAAATGTGGTTTCTACATTCAATTTTTTCCACTGTAATATTTTGGTCTTTATATGGATTTTCTTTTAGCACTTTTGCGTATGTCGAGGCGTCGCCGTCTGCCATCATTCTTTTATAAATTACGCCATACATGGAAATGGATAGTTTGAAACCTTCGGCAATTATTTCACCCTCCATAGATCACGACGAACCATCGAAATTTTTGAAACATTTGTGCTCCTTAGGAGCGACATTTTTGTTTTCTGCGCGGGCGCACACGAGGCAGTATTTATTTTAACAGCCAGAAAAATTATTTTACCCGTTCTTCTACCGATTGTTGCCGCAGTTCCAGATGCAGCTTTATAATTTGATCCGTACGATCTAGCACACCAAGAAGCATCGACATAAACATCAATTACTGGTATGCCATTTTTGGTGCGACCTTCTTCGATGGCCAATTTTTTTTCTTCTTCTGCAGCATCTTGCATCGATTCGGCTGCTGTTTTTTCACAACATTCGTACACTATATCCTGTAGTTGATTGTAATATTTTGTAGAAAATACAGGAATGTTCATTGCAGAAAAAAGCTCTTCAAATTGTGAGTAGCCGATTCCTATTGCTACCATGCCAGTGGTAGCTGCGATATTTACATTAACATTTGAGTCAGTTTTGTCGGAATTTATGAGGCAAATTTGTTTACAAATATTGCATTCAAATTTAAATACTGAAATTAAGCCAACCCTTTTTTCACTGATCAACTGAAAATTTCCTGCTTTGCAGTCAAACAAGTTATTGTGATGTGCTTTTTCTTGTAATTGACTAAATAAGTAATTGATATCAATAATGCGTCGTCCTGTTACTGGTTGGAACTTGTCTTCTTGAATTTCAGATTCAACAATAAGGGAATCATCTTCGTCTGTTCCAGTTGTCCTTTCAAACTTGTCTTCTTGATTTTCAGCATCAACGATAAGGGTATCTTCGTTATTTCTAGTTTTCCTGCAACAATGGAAAGTCATTAAAGTAATGAAAGGGATTCGGTTTAAAATAATTGAAATAAACTTTAACAAAAAATCATTCACTGCCATGTTCCATCCTATAATATATACATAACACACATGATAGAAAGAAAGCTGAAGCACGACGCGAGGTAACAGCAAACTTGTAGTGGACAGGTAAAACTGCTCCACCCTAGGTATACTGTGTAATATGTATATAACTAGCTTTCCGCCTGCAGCTTCGCCCGCGTGGACTACACGTTATATCGCACTCATGTCCATCAGTGGAATAAAGGGTGGCCTAAGTAGTGTTTAAACTATCTCCATTCCAAATTTCATCAAAATCGATACAGCAGTTTTCCGCTCGCAGCTTTGCCCGCGTGGACTACACGTTATATCGCGCCTTTGTCTAACAGTGGGATAAAAGGTGGCCTATGTCCATCATCATTTTAAACTGTCTCCATACCAAATTTCATCAAAATCGGTACAGCGGTTTAGTCGTGAAAGCGTAACAGTAGGGATTATAATTATCCTTCCTTTACACCTTTTTATATCGATCACCCCCACGCCCACGCCCAGCAGCCCAATGCTGGGCATGGGCGACATAAGATAGAAGGACATAGGATACCTTTTATCCCAGATAAAAGGTATCCTATGTCCTTCTCCAAAGTCTAATCTACCTCTGTACCAAATTTCATCAAAATCGGTCCAGCGGTGTAGGCGTGAAAGCGTAACAGACAGACAGACAGAGTTATTTTCGCATTTATAATATAGTAGGTATTATAATTATCCTTCCTTTACACCTTTTTATATCGATCACCCCCACGCCCACGCCCAGCAGCCCTCTGCTGGGCGTGGGCGACATAGGATACCTTTTATCCCAGATAAAAGGTATCTTATGTTCTTCTCCAATGTCTAATATACCTCTGTACCAAATTTCATCAAAATCGGTCCGGCGGTGTAGGCGTGAAAGCGTAACAGACAGACTGAGTTACTTTCGCATTTATAATATTAGTAGGGAAGTAGGGATATACTTACGCATACTGCCCCTCT